CGGGTGGGGGGGTTTGGATGGCTTTGTTCGCTCTAAGGGGGGTGGGGGGTTCATATAGCTGATGTTTGTTATTTGTCAGAAGCTTTCATGGCTTTGATTTTCGCTTTAAAAAGGTGGGGGAATGTAGAGGAAACCAGTTCGCTTGAAGGGGTGGGGGGGTTTGGATGGCTGATGTTCGAAGAGTGTCAGGAGCTTTCATGGTTCGGATTTTTTCGCTTTAGGGGGGTGGGGGGGGTGTAAATGGCTGATGTATGATGCAAAATCAGGATTTTTTCATATTGTTGCATGGGAGTCCAGGGTAGTAGTCCGGTAGGGGGGTGTAGATGGCTGATGTATGATGAAAAACTGGGATCTTTCATATTGTTGCATGGGGGTCCGGGGTAGTAGTCCGGGCCGGGCTGTCCGGGCTGTCCGGGCTGTCCGGGCTGTCCGGGCTGGGTGTTGTGTGGCAAGTGCAGGAGTCCCTTTGTTCGCTCTAAATAGGGGTTGTGGGGTTCAGATAGCTGATGTTTGAAGAAATGTTCGGAGCTTTCATGGCTGCTTTGATTTTTTCACTTTAAGGGGGTATATGTTCGCTTTAAAGGGGGTGGGGGGGTTTGGATGGCTGATGTTCCAAAAAGTGCTAGGGAGTTCATAGGGCCAAAGTCCGGGCTGTCCGGGCCGAAGTCCGGGCTGTCCCCGGGCTGTCCGGGCCATGTTGTCCGGGCCAAGAATCCGGGCTCCCCGGGCCGAAGTCCGTGGGGGACCAAAATGACCCCTTCTTGGCGGGACCAAAAATGACCCCCTTACGTTTTGCCGCCGCGTTCCAGGAGGCATGCCTTCCATACGCACGCATGCCGGCACCGAAGGCTTGCACGAGCTCCTCCACACGGCGACGGCCATAGACCCGCGTGTGACCGACCGTTCTATCGGTCGATGCGGTCGGCGCTTTTGACCAGCGGCTGGGCTGGAGGCGTTGTTACCGTTTGCACGGCAGTTTTAAGGCAGCGGCAGCCCCCACACATGGCTTGACGATGATGGCCAGGAGCACGACATTGTTCAGGGCGAACGGGGTGAGCAGGGGGACCCCCTCATGCCGGCACTGTATTCTCTCGCAGTGCACCCAGCCCTGCATGCGGCGGCGGCCGGCCTGCGGGAGGGTGAGCCAATATTTGCGTTTTTAAACGACGCCTACGACGTCGCACCCCCTGCACGCATTGCTGCGGTGCAGGCAGGTTTGCAGGAGGCCTTGTGGGCGCATGCGCGCATTCAGCTCAATACTGGCAAGAAGCGCGTTTGGAGCGCCCCGCTCGGGAGCATAGTCCAGCAAGAACTGCGCCGTAAGCGCGGGCTGCACGACGAGCTCCTCAAACATCTTCATGGCCTGCGCGTGCGGCTACTGCTGCTCTGGGTGACGGATGAATTTGCCAGAGGCCACGAAGCAAACGTGCATCACCACGCTGCTGTCCCAAGACCGCGTTTTGCCTGAGGCGGCGCAGCGGGTGCTCCAGCTGCCCTTGCGTTTGGGCGGCCTTGGGTTGCGGTCGGCTGCAGCTTCTGCCCCAGATGTTTATTGGGCTTCATGGGCTGATTCCCTGCCCACCATCCGTGCCCCTCGAGTGGTTGAAAGGCTTTGGCAACGGTTGCGGGATGACGGGCAAGCGGTTGCGGCTCCCCTCGCGGCAGCCCGCCATGCAGTTGCATGTCTCCGTGAACAGGGTTATGAGGCCCCAGACTGGCAGACTGCAGCGCAGCACGAGTGAGGGGGCTGAGCGGGAGTTTGGGGACCCGTTGTGTGGGTGGCAACAGCTCGCCAGAAAGGCCGGCGATGAGCGCGCGCTTGAAATGCATCTTTCCCACCTTGATGCCGCATCTCGGGCGCTGCGGCTGTCGCAGGCTGGGCCACACGCAGCGCGTATCTTGACGGTGTTCCCTGTCACCCGCACCAGAGAGCCGCAGCCCGGCGCCGACGTGCACCCCGGCAGGGCCTCCGACGGAGCAGCCATCATGCAATTACAGTTTTCGAATGGCCCAGCTGTAGCGTGGAGCTGTGCGGCCGTGCACATGATCATGTCCAAGTTCTTCTTGAACTTGCCCTGCCACGTTTTGCAATGCTGACTTTTGGTCGTGCTGAAGCACTATTTTGGATTATTCTGGCATACCCCAACCGTTTTATCCACAGCACCACAGCTCTGGCCACATAAGCATTTGATCCCTTTTGTGGGACGAACACCATGAATGGCCATCCAAAGGACGTGTCAGTGCCAGTCAAAGCTGTCGCCGTGCGATTTTTTTTCTCGACGAATTGGCCATCGCGGCCGAAGAACTGATAGTCGAATTGCAGGACTGGCAGTTGAGCATCCTCATGTTTGTCTTGGCGGTGGTGATCGGACTCTGCAGCATTTCCGCCGACTCAATGATGGCACCACGGGGCAAATTGTGTGTGTGTCGGGGACAGGGAGTGATGCCCATCGAGGTCGATTTCCTCGAAAGCGTCCCTTTCAGGCTCAAATTCAATTGGAGGGTACTGCGAGCTTGAATGCAGAAGGGATGACGCATCATCAAGATCTTGAGCAGCTACAATGGCTGGCGGCACATGATGTCCAATTCGGTCTTCACACGGCATGTAGAACCGGGCCCCGAATCTTGGCATGATGATGGCATGTCCACTTGGAGTTTGGATCTGAGCCTCATTGATGATGCGAAACACGGCAGGGATATCAATTGCAATGCCCTGGGTATCGGCATTCGTAGTTGGAAACGAGGTATGTGCTTCGAGCTCGCCCTGATGTGTGACGCAGGTGCCAACTATTGCCCAAAGCTGTTTGCGTTCGGACACGTCAAGCCTAGCATCTGGGAAGTGCTTAGCGTTGGCACATCTGGTGGTGGCGCTTGAATCAACCAATATGTGCTTGTGCTCCCCAAGCCCCCGAGGTTGCCGCGCACATGCCCTCTAGGATTTGCACAGCGGACACGGCGAACAACATTGCAGGCTGGGTCTGCGAGATGGCGCCTTGAGCAGCCTGCCCTTTGCGGCCAGCGTTGGTGGTGGAGTTGCTGGATGCTGCAACAGCTGCCTGCGCTCGAAGGGTGTCCAACTGTTGTTGCAGAGCTGAAATGTTACTGGACAAGAGGTTGTCGGGACTGTCTCAACTGCACTTACTGCGGAAGCTGCGGCGGGCATTGTCCGCTTGCCTTTGCCATCGCCTTTTGGGAAGCTGCGGGCATTGAAATAACACGCCATAGTTGTGTGACTTTTGCTCCTCTCAGGGCCACATATGGCACACGGAGGCCCTTTCGCAAAATTCGCATTGTTGGAATCGGGCTACCTTTCTTACCACCTTTCCCACCTATATCACTTTTGCTGGATTTACCTTACCCTGCCTATCATTTTTTTTTTGCGCGACTTTTTCCACCTGCGTCACAAAGTTTGGTCCCCAGCAACTACCCCCCCCTACAGGCAGCGGGCCGCACCGCCGGGACATCAGCGTGGTCNNGGCAAATGCGCGCTGCGCGGCAACTCACGGAAGGTTTTGTATGAGGTCAGGTGCGCGGAATGCATGGCGATTTGCGTGGCAGGTGCTCTGGGAGCCATTTCAGACAAAATTGCCAATTTAAGATCATCGTCGAAGTGTTCTTGTATTCATTCGTATTTGGCCATCTCGCTTTCCCATTCCTCGAGTCCCCGTTGCCACTGGCTCATATAGAGGGAAAGCATGGGCTGGACAAAACTCGCAACCATGCATATGGTATATGCGTGTTCTCGGTTCATAGCGCGCATGCATGCGGCGCCATAATTTGAACCCATTGCGATCGGGCACAAGCATTGCCATGGCTGGAATCTCCCCGGACTGACACACGCCTACCAAAATGGCAAACAAGTTGGTGCACAACTCCTCAGCATTTGTGGCCATTTCGGATGGATCAATTGCATCCGTTTGAACAGCGGCTTCTTTGAGCAAGTCAGGATATTCCGGATCTAAAGTGCCGATTCATAACGTGAAACTGGACGTGAAACGCTCCCAATCGGCGTCAGCTCCGGAAGAAGGTTCTGGGGGTTTAACCAGCTTGGGATTGAGGGTCTTGCGTTTTACTTCGCCACGGGTTGACTGCGCTGTGGCGGTCAACTGCGACACGGCTGACTGCGCTACTGTCGCTTTCACCCGGGCTTGTCTGTACACTGCAAGCGCTTGCACCACAGTCATGAATCCGGTGGGCATGGATGCTCTGGTCACCGTATGGTCTTGGAACACGAACGGAATTATGGTTTGGGCATGGCTGCTCTGGTCACCGTACGCCGTACGCTCTTGGAACACGAACGGAATTATGGTTTGGGCATGGCTGCTCTGGTCCCCGTACGCTCCTGGAACACGAACAGAACTATGGTTTGGGCATGGATGCTCTGGTCACCGTATGCTTTTGGAACACGAGCGGAATTATGGTTCATGGTCGCGGCATGGATGGTCTGCGAAATACGCGATGCGTGGTGGCAGCAATGATTTTGAGGCCCCGGAAGGATCGAAAGTGCTGTTCGTCCCGCGCAGGCCAGTTCCGATGGGCTCCGGCGGGAACGCATTTTTCGCGCGTTTACGTCATGTAGGTACCTCAAACAGTGTCACAACCTAAATGTAGATGGGACTTGGTTCCTCAGCTATGACAGTGCTCGTCTTTGTCTATCCTTGCCTGAGGGAGGGAAAATTTCATGTGGATGCACGGTCCGCCGCGTTCCAAACAGGCACCCAGTGTAGCACCATGTGCAGCAATGAGCATGGCATGGTTGGCATGGAGTTGTGAAGGTGTTAGTTATGAGTTGTAAGGCGGTTTGTTTGTGCGTAAGTGTGTCACCCTATTATTCACGAAGTCGATCCAGGATATGAAGGTGGTCAGTATTTGGGGGGGTTGGAACAAAGGGCACCAGGGAACCAGATGCCATGGCGCAACATAATCATAAGCCGAGACGAAATTTATCGCGTTGCTTGGTTGATCCCATTTGGTAGCCTTGACCTCGAAACCATGTAGTGATGTTTTCAGTTTGTTTCTGCCAAGGCTTGCCTGCCCAGCCCCGAGTATTCAGCCGCGAACTCGCTGCACCAGCCGGCACCGAGTCCATAGGGTATCTTGGATGCATTGCGCCCGACACTGTAGCTGGACAGTTGTCAGTTGTGAAATGTTTGTCAGGTATGATGTCAATGAGTCTGCGCAACATGTTGCCACTTGGTTGATAACTTGAAGACAGAGCTTAATGTGTTGAGCGCAGCATGCGTTGCCAAAGGACTATTTCGAGCGGGTGGGGCTCTTCAGCAAGAAGTTCAGTCAGAGCATGTGGCTATCGTTTGGGGCATTCCGCTGGATTTTGTTATTACTTATTGGTGTGGGCGCTGGTGCTGTGCCTAGCCTGCAAACAGAAGCGCGCACATGACCCAGCTAGGGGCACGTGACAGCACCTGAGCTGGACGGAGCCAGGTGCACTTGTGTTCATATTGGATTGACGCTGGCGTGATGTAATTTCAGGGTGTGGGGGGCTTTTGTTTGAATGTTCTGCCACTGCCAATACTGCCAGATTATTAGCATCTGCAAATTGCCAGAGAAACTTGAGCTCTGCTGCTCAACTGCGTCAGCATGAAGTTTGAAGAGCTGGCGCTTCAAAAAATATTTTGAAAAATAAAGCAGGCCGGCAGGTCTTGCAGAGCTGGAAGCAGTGTGCTGAGCCCGACCAGGAATAAGTGTATCAACTGGATGGTTCAGCCAGAGGGGACGCATACCCTTCCACAAAGCTATTTCGTGTGTCGCAGAATGTGCTACAAAGTTGTTGCATGTGTCACAGAACGTGCTGTCCGTGCTCGAGCTAAGGTGGCTGTGAGCGTCGAGCTGGCCTTGCATTTCCTTATGGAACGCAAGCTTGAGTTGACGGATTGGGTGGGCCGCACCAGCTCGAGCATTGGCTTGCAGTACGTTACCCTCATGATTTTCAGCCTGTGTTGTAGTGGCATTGCTGGAGTGCTCGTATGTTTTGTGGAAGTTCTGGCTGCCGGAAGTGGCATCCCAGAGATCAAATGTTATTTGAATGGGATTCATCTGCCGAAGCTCGTGACTGGACGAACTCTCTTTGCAAAAGCCGTGGGCATAGTGTTTTCGGCCAGGAGCTTGGTCAAGGGTCAAGACATGACAAATGGTGTCTGCGACAGCAGTGTCGCTTGAGTTCATGTCGCTCGAGTTCATGCAATCAACATCCTGCATGTCAGGTCAGTGCTGGTTTGCCATGCGGTAAAGAAGGGCCGATGATCCACAGTGGTGCCATTGTTGGTGCTATGGTAAACCATCTCAATTTGGAGCGGCGTCTTCGACCGCTGAACCTGGATGTGGAGACGCGCGATTTCGTTGCAGCTGGGGCAGCCGCTGGTGTTTCTGCAGCCTTTGGTGCCCCCATTGGGGCGGTCTTGTTTGCTGTGGAAGAAGGGGCCTCCCACATGACTCCGCGGTACCTTGAATGGAATTGTTGCTGTCACACTTCATGTGCACTCCAGTCCCGTGGAAGAAGTATAGGCGTTGAAGCTTTCCCTGGGGCAATGCAGGATCCTGACGCAGCTATTTGTTTCCAGTTCAGTGGCCCGGAACTCAGAGGAGACCCCCTTGGCAATGAGCGACGAAGGAGCACAGCTGCACTTGCGTGTCACCAGCTCTTGCTGGACAACGTGATTTTCCAAGGCGACTTTGGTCACTCGGCTTACGCTCGGACCGGTCCTGGAGCGACACACCTTTGGCCTCCTTGGGACAGGCGTACCAGTCAGCTTTGGACGTTTCACCGAGATTTCGAACCCTGGACTGTCAAGTTGGATAATGACATGTCTGAATGTTGGGATGCTGCGCTAAAGCCTCCGGCAAGTGGCGCCGTTCTGGCCAAGGTATCACTTTGTCGAAATGTTCATCTTTGCGTTGATGGGCATCGCGGCTGGCTTGTTGGGAGCCACTTTCAACCACTTCAATCGCAGCATTGCCAGGCACGAGCGCCATGTTCTTTTAGCTCAGTCCTCAAGCTTGTCCTAGTAACTCTGCAGTGGGTGCTTCTGTTTTTTGGTTGGCTCGATGTTCATTCTGGCCGGCTAAAATCGACGCGGTGCATGGTGCTGGGCTGGGGCACCGAAATTGGATGCTGTCGACTTGTGTGTGATCAAGACCTTCCGTTGCCTTGGGCCAGCTGCATTGCGGCGGTCGCACATTGCCGGCGCCAAGCGGTTGCAGGGGCGCAGTTGTGCAGGCTTTGTCCTGATAAGCGGCCTGCGGATCAGAGGTGCACGGTGAGCACTCCCTTTGAGGGTTGCCGATGGGCCTGTGTTCTTCATATCCTCTGGAAACAAAAGCATTTATTTGGTTCTGCAGCGTTGTCATGTCACACGTTTAGAGTATTGCGCCCACGTGCTTGCTTGTCCAGTTTCGCGGGCTTGTTTCAAAACAGGAGAAGTAAGAAGGGCTGCAAGCACTATCATGACATTCAAGCGGAGCCACATGCTTGAGTTTGGTGGAACAACTTGCAAAAGTCTTCAGCAAAGCAGGGCAGTGTAGGTACGACGTTGCAAGGACTCTTCTGTTGCTTTTACCTGGAGTTGTCCAGGTGGCGAAAGCAACATGTTGGCCCAAGAGGATGTGTAAGGTTTCTCGAAGTGTTGCCTCTTGGCAGCATGCCGCCATGTTATGACAAGCTGGACCTGAATGAATGCACCAAGGTATGTGACATTCGCAATTGCCACGATGAAATTTTGGGTTCCTGTTTGCATTCGCGCCTGGAGTGCTGGGCACTGGGAGCCTGCAATCATGGAGGACTTAACTGGTGCTCAGAAACTTTGGTTCGACAGCGGTGGCTCAGCTGCTAGTGCATGTTCTGCTTTGCACTATGTTCTGCTTTGCAAACTTGTCGACCCATACTTTTGAGAGTTGTCAATGGACGGTAGTTTGCGAATCAGCTAGAGTGCCTGAGGCCAGGTGTCGATAAACGATCTTTTCCATGAAGAGCATGCCTTCGATGAAATCTGGTTGCTTTTCTTTTTTGGAATCTTCAATTTGGCAACGACATGCTGGACGCATCTTGGCGTTGATGCTGAGGGTTCTTGCAAATCATTCGAAAAGGTGCGTGCACCGTCTGCACCGCGCCAGGTTTGGCTTGGGGGTTCCAGCTGGCCTCTTCGTTCCTTCGCTACTGACTGGGGCAGTGCTTGGCCGCTGGGTGGGCGAAGTATTGAGTCGGACTCCGGAGTGGCTCATACCAGGGACCTGGGCCCACCCGTCCGTGTACGCGTTGGTGGGGGCTTCAGCTATGCTTGCTGGTGTTGGAAGGACATGCTCCTGTGCCAGGGCTCAGAAAGTTTGTGTCTAGCACTCCAATCCCAGAAGCCTTGCATGCGAGCAGGATCACAATCTCGTTGGCGATGATTCTGACTGAAGCAACCGGTGCGGGCACCTTTGCACTTCCAATATTGATGGTGGTGGTGATCGCTACCTGGACAGGCAACCAATTCAACCGTGGCATTTACGATCTCCACATCATCGAGCTGAAGCAAATTCCGCTTCTGGAGCAGACGCCTGCTGATGTGATGGTTCGGTACTATGTGCGAGACATCATGAGCAAGAATGTGGTGAGTCTGGAGGCGGTTGAGAAGGTTGGGACACTTCTGGATGTTCTTGCATCTTGTTGTCACAACGGATTTCCGGTAGTGGACGTTGGGACGCGGAAGCTTGAGGGCATCATCGAACGCGGCTATCTACACCTCCTGCTGTCCAGGGGCAATTATTATTGCATGTTCCAGGAGGATCGAGAAGCAAACCCAGGTCACTCCATCGTTCCTTTCGAAGCGATTGCGTGGCCAAACATCCACTCGTACCCAAGCGTTAAGGAGTTGAAGCGGAGGCTTTCCAGCAAGCATTTGGAGATGTGGATCGACTTGCGGCCTTATGTCAATGCCAATGGTTATTCAATTCCTCCACATGCTTCCATGGCAAGCGCATTTTCGCTGTTCAGACGCCTTGGCTTGCGACATCTTCCCGTTGTAGACCGCAATGGTGATCTTTGTGGGCTTCTGACCCGGAAGGACCATCTGTGTCTGAGATGTCTGAAATCGCGGTTCGGCGTTCTCGCAGGATCTCATCCTCATCGAAGAGAACGAGGCGACGGGTGAGCTTGTGCAGAGGCCGCGCTCCTACCAACCGCTTCCCTGAAATCTCATGATGACTTTCTTGTGTAACTCTGACTTGGGCGCATGTAGCTGGATTGATGCTGGCAGGAACAAACAGAGGAGCATAGACGGCCGTGCACGATCAACTTCACGGCAAAACATGAAAGCTCCCCTTCCCAGTGACATGCTGGTCATATTAAGCTGCAGAAGCCAATGGCCAATGGCCCTGCAAGAACCAGCTTTTTTTGCATGGCCCTGAGAAAAACAGCCTCCCCTGTCAGCAGTCGTGAATCGTGACTACATGGATATGGCTAGTAGCTCATGAAGCTCGGTATGGGATGCACGGAGTAGATGATGAAATTAATTGCTGGCCCCAAGGTCTCAACCATTTTTGGTTTCCGACACCGGCTGGGCATACCGGAAGTCAGAAGGAACCGACCTGGAGTCGGGAACATCCTTTGAGGACCTTCAGATTGAGTTCTTTGAAGGATTGGCCATGGATTATAATCCCCCTTAAGTAGATAGAACATGGCTTCGGGCTTTGGGTATATTATAATAAGATCCACATATACCCGTATCTACTTAACGGGGACTACAGGACATGGGAATGGACAGCATGCTCGAAAGCGAGACGGATGGAAGCGAGGCCCCCGTCGAGGCATGGGCATGATTTTCCGCTGGTACCTCATGTTCAATGCGTCTTCCTTAGTAGACGTTGTGTTTGTGCCGGGGTGAGGTGAGGTGCTGTGAACCGCCAAAAGCGATGGGTTGACATGTCTTCATCGTTTCCATTGCCATTCTATGCTGCTCCTACTCAGGGCTGTAATGGTTGCAATGGTCATTTGATTTGATCATGTGCCTGTGAGCTTTCATGCTGCAGATGCACCTGCCGGAGGAGGCCTCCAGTGGCAATGCGGAAAGCAGCGAGTCAGATGAGAGGAACCAGTCACCGACAGGTCACGGAGCAAGCCCAGTGTCTCCAGATGTTGTGAATAACCACTAGGGCTCAAAGAGAAGGTGCTTTAGTATGTTTTGGTTGTGCAACGATTTCGGTGCAACTATGTCGCGCGCGCATCGTAGGCCTGGTGGAACTAGAGCCTTAAAAACTGCACGAAACTGAGGTTTGAGTACAATTTTCGGCGATTAATGGCTTAGTTGAAAATGCTGGAAATTGAATATTTCGTTCTGTCAGCATCTCCTGCATTTCGTGGGCAAAAGTCATGCAAATTTGGGATTGCAAGCGTGAGAGGGGGGCGCCAAGAAGCGCGGATTGAGCTTGCCCAGGTTCTTGCGCCACACGCACAAATATGTTGTTTGCACAAGCTACCAGTTTACCTTTACCTGCCCCAGCATGCGTGCATCGCAGTGACTCGAGGTGATGTTGCGAGCATGGGCGGCCTTGGCGGCGCTTAAACCATGTCACAGGCACATGGTGCATGTTCGTTTTCCCTTTGTTTTCCTTACAGTATTTGAGATGCAGATAGGCGCTTTGGAAAAGCTGCCGGCACACTCTCCATCATCATTACTCTCTTGAGACCACGCTGTTCCGCTCAGAGAGCGAAGAGCAGATCTTGTTGGAATCTTCGCAGGGAAAAGAAACAAAAGGCATTCTAGTTCTGCTGGCACCTTCCAAGAAGATTGGTCTTGAAGAGCCAGACTTTTCATCCATGGCCGATTCCAGCTACAAACGCTGAGAGAGTGGGCAACTCAGGTTGGACGCACTTAATCAGGGTTAGGTACGGTATGAATTTTCGGGAGCTGCCCGTGGCCACTGTCAGATCCATCGAATTTGATTGACCGTGGTCTAGAATCCAGGCCTGACAGTTTTCCTGCAGAAAGTTTGGAGCCAGGGACCATCCAATGTGCACATGTTGGCAGTACGCGCACCATGTTTCAATGCTTCACCGGCCGCGCCTCGTTGCCCCGTTCCAGATTTCTCTCTGTTTCGGCTTCACGAATATGAATTCTGCACGGTAGTGGCCATGTAAGCATGTGGGCTGCTTTGGTTACATGCCATTCTTCATGCAATGTGTGAACAAGGCTTTGTAAAGATCGTTGCTTCTGAAGGGCGGGTTAGATCTATATGAAGGGTGCAGCGGCGGGAGATCATCTGGCTGCGAAAACACAAGTTGAACAAAAAAACTCAGAGCCAAATCCTGTCAAGGCAAGCGAAAAGTGTTGAAGAAGTGCCCCCCTAAGCATGAGAGAATGGACCGAGTCTGATTCAAACACGGTAGCAGAGGGTTCGCCATGGCAAAGTATCCTGGTTAATGGCTCAAGCGCCAGGCGTCCATGCTTTACGCAGTGCCGGAGTGAAACCTCGCTTGAGACAGGCCTCTCCCGTTCTTGGCGGAGTGTCGCCAGTCGGGAGGCGCAAATCGGAGCACATTCCGGCTCTGTGAGCAACCTTCTTCCATGGACTGCGGACAGGCAGTGGCCCCCAAGGATGTTGGTAGAACAAGGTCCCTCAAGCAGTGCTCTTAAACTATGATGCCACAGCCGTTTTGCAATGCTTACAGGCAAGTTGTGTGGTCTATGCTGAGGCTTTCGCAATCGCAGCTGGCAAAACTTGTCCTGGGCTTGGTCGAGTTGGTTGGCTCTTAGTCTGTGGCACAACGGTTGCTTCTCTTTGTCTGTCTCCAGGCCAGGGAAGGATGTGAACAACTTCAGAATGCTGTGTCAAGGCATGTGTCGCGACTAGAAGTGGGAGCAGAGAGCTACTTAGGTCTTAGGTGTGCTCAGTGTCACAGACACACTCTAGCAGATGCATGCTGTGAATTCCGCGCAGTATCTACACCCCTGCAGAGCTTGAGACGGTGGACGGTTTGAGAACTGACAAGGCAAAAGACTTCGTCGTAACTCTCAGCATTTGCATTCCTAATTGAACCAGGCTGCAGAGTATGAGCCGCACTCTTGTCTGGAGTGAGAACAAGGATGAAGCGCAGGCTGCATGACCCTTTCTGACCCTGAGCTGAGGCCTGAGCTAAGGGAACGAGGGCCGCACCATCCGCCTGGGCTACCCGACAAGGCACCACTTGAGGTGCGGAAAGGTAGAACTACGATTTTTTCAGGATTTTTCAGGGATGATTCAGAGCCGTTTCTGTGAAGATCGGCTTCAGGCTTTTGAACGTCCTCGTATGCTGGATGGCTTAGCTGGTGTGCCATGGCCCTGGGAGCGAGTGACGCTTCCGTGTTTGCATGGCTTGTTTTGCACGTCTGAGGTTGGATGAAGGTCGGGGAAAGATCGATGGCTGGCTCAGGTCTCAGATTCCTTCCAAGGGCTACAGGCGCTGCGGCACCGGTGTTGCCGAAATCTCTTGCGTGGACGCTGTCAAGGCTGGAGAACCTGCGGACCACACAGAGAATTGAGAAGCTCAGTGAGCTGCACGAGTGGTCGGGGTGCACGGAGGAAAACATGGGGCAGGGCCATTCCAATGGGATTTGTCGAATGAGGTTTCAGCACTTTCGTGAACGAGCGCCGGAAGAGGCATGATTCAACGACGCTGAGATAATTGTGAGGGGTTTCGGCCTAGCACCAACGGAGCAAGGCTGATTTCTTCAAGAAGTTCGATGACGAGATTGAGAAGGTGACTGGTGCATGTTACTGGAAGCTCTCGGCTACTTGTAATGAGCATCCATGGAGGGAAGCCTCCTCTGTCAGCGCTCGCAGCTCTTCGCCATGGCCCGAGTCCGTCTCGCGCGTTTGCTGCTCTGGCCGCAGAGTTTGTTCTGATTTATGCTCTGAGGTCCGCAAGTTGCAAGAGGCATGCTGTGACAGCATCTTTCCTTTGCTAGCAGAACCCTGACAGCCTTGAATACCAGAGTCTTGAGGAGGGATCGCACAAACGCCACAATGCCGGTTCCCCAGAGCTTCACAGGTCCAAAGCAGCATTCCATTAATGCAGTGGAAATCCGCCACCCACACACAGGCTTGTCTAGACAGCGAGGTTGAACACTTCGTCGACAAAAAGCTACGCGCCGTTACAGGCCTAGTATAGGTTGTGCACACTGTGTTGGTGTTCCCGGTTCAGTTGGGTTTGGCATGAATGCCGGCCCTCTCTCCAAGCTTGTGTCTCGTGTATGCGATTGCCAGAGGTCGTGTTTTGTAGTGTCGCCCTCTGGCAGTAAACGTGCCACTCTAAAGTCCCAGTGTTTTCCCACCCGATTACCTTGGTTGCTGGGATGTCGGGCGGGGTTTAAGCGGGCCAGTTGGCTCTTGGAGTGTTGCCTGACATTTCGGCAAAAGCTAGCGCGCCGCTGAGAAATTAAAAGGGCTGCGGAGCCTCGATGATGGTGCCTTAACACGTGTTGCAGGGGTATATGTACATGCGTCCTGTACACATACATTTGGTCATATGTTGCAAGCTAGTGATCGAGGATTTGGGGAGTGGCTCGGAGTTTGCATTTCCATGCATGTTTTGCACGTTCAAAAGGCTCCTTTCATTGTCGCTGTGTAGACTCGCCACGTCCTGGGGCACCTGGCATTGAATTCCCCGCGGCCCGGATTTGATTTTCAGCGGCCCGTCATAGCGGCCCGTCCTAGTGTTTGTCAGTCACGCAGTATTGAATCGCTACAGCACCTGGCATGTCTGCAGGCAAGGGAGATGGCGCATTGGTAAATGCAGCTGAAACTAAGCGGATGCGAGCGTGCAGGGCTCACAATAATGACCGTGCGAGAGGTCATGACATAGCTTTTGGTGTCGACATAGCAGTTGACCACACAAAGGCGAGATCACTTCGCAACATCGCGATCTGTCAGCTGCTGAGAACCGGCATGAGCGTGTCGATGTAGGTGTTTAGACTATTTTCGTAGACAATTCTTAGGCACACGCGCTGTTGCAAAGCACAGAAATGCATTTTGTGGTTCGTTTGCAAAGGAGTATTGTCCCATTTCTTCCTCTGAAGCACTTCGTTTCTTTCAGACTCCACAAATTTTGGATGCCGCCACTGTTTTTTTGGGAGAGATCGTGCTGAAAGCTTAGCAGGGCATGCGGGGCTTCTGGTGTGTAAGCTGCTGCGCTAACAGGCTGCCGAAGCCGTCCAGTATGAGTTTGAGGCCACATCTTGGTAGATCCTATGCGCTACACAAAAGCAGCATGTGACATGAGCCTGTCATCCGTCCCGTCCAGGAGAAAGAAGAGGCACCGTGCGGCCTTGCTTGAGGGTCTGATCTAGCTTTGTGCGAGTCCTCTGGCTAGGCTTGGAACAGGCTTACTTCCAAGTGCTCTGCCTTGCATTGGCCCGCACATGTTTGGCGCTTCATCTTGCTGGTGCTCTGAACCATGTCGGTGATATGCTCAGCGCAATTCCATCTTAAACAGTCTAGATTGAGTCGGCTACTGGAGGGAACCGGTACCATCACGGCTTACCACCAGGCTTACCACCAGTTCCGGGCCTCTTCGGATGTTTCATGGCCACGGATGGGAAAGTCTGAAGTCATTTGAACGCCCTCGTGGGAAATTTCGGGAAAGCAAGAAGCCACGCTACGCTGTTCAGGTGCGGCTGTGAGAAAGAGAGACAGGACGGCACTGCATGCGAAATTCGCGCGACGCGGGCACGCGGCGCGAGCGAAGGGCCGGGCAGGGTGTGTGTGCTGACGGTAAGGTAGGGAAAGGGGCAAGGTCCCCGAAACCAATGACAAGGGCGCCTGTTCGTCCCCGCTGCCCAGCCCGCAGCTTTTTGGGCTTTGCTTTCATCTTTTTGCCGAAAATCGCCTCTGCTTTTTTGACGCTTGCGTTTCCGACGCCGTTGTTCCGGCAAAGCATGCAAAAGTCCCAACACACCTACAGCACCCGAAGAATGCCGGACTTCTCAGCCCCAAGATCATGCACCATGATTCTGTGTTAGGTTTGGTTAGGTTGGACTTCTTGATGAATTCGCTTGTGTTTGGCTGCTGTCTCCGTGCCATGAAAGCGGCAGACAACAGCAACCCCCATCAGCTCAGAAGCCAGAAGCCAAACATGCAAAGAAACAAATTGTAGTTTCCATAAATGCGGGGACCCCAATACAGGCCCCCAAATGCTACAATTTTCATGGGGACCCCCGAACCTTGCCCAAATGAAATACCGCTTAGACCTCTAGATCCTACACTTGAACCCCCCTCTCCCCCCCCATCACCCGAAAAGCGAATTTTATGATTTGGATGTTCTAAATCCTGACATAGCCAAGCACAGGTTCAAAAATGAAAACCAAAAGCCTGCCTGGAACCAGGCTTAAGCACTTGTATTCCTGAGCCCCAAATCCCTCACCTCCAAACACACCTACCCCGAAAACACCTACCCGGTGAAGTCCCCAAACTCCACGACACCTGACCACTACCAGACCACTACCACTACCGGTGACTATAGGTCCTGGGGCCACTGAGCTGTCCCTCCCAGCTAGGCCTTTCAAACCTCATATCCTAAAGCGCTAAA